CGAAGGCAGGCGCGACTTCTAGCCAGGCAGGGCAAACGGGTCGGAGAAAGGCCATTCTGAGAACCCTGTCACAGCTACCTGATAAGGAATTCGAGGTCTTCATGCAAGTTTCATTCGGTCCTCTTAGCGATGTTAGTCTTGTCCGCGATGGTCAAATTGAGCAGCAAGCTTTCGAGCAGTCTCTGGCTAGTCCAAGGAAACAAATGGGTCTGCTGAAGATGATTGAAACTGTTTTCGAAACACTTCAAAACCGAATGGTCCCTTACGCTGAGAGATCTATGAACGTGGTGCTTTATTGTCTTGTGCGAGCATGCCGAGAACTTGAGAAAGCGCAGACGGCGTCAGCTGCAGACTCGCAGGAAGAACGGCAGCTGACAGTGCTGCGTAATATTCGCTACACGTGCGTACGCTGTCTCGACCTCGTCTTTGCCATATCTCTCGAGGTCGATTGGTCATCTTACGTTCGCATCATTTTCGACGAGGTGATCAACCCAAGACTGGCAGACTTCGCCATTGAAACCGCCCAGGGCGTATCCGGTCTCCTCAAGCTCTTCCATACCTGGGCCACTGCCCCGAAATCGTCATTCTATCTCACCAAATTCAACGATGCCCTTTTGACGAAGGTGGTGGATATTCTTGGTGTCGACTCCGCACGAGATGAAGTCAAGGCTTTCGTCATGGATGAGGTCTTGAATCCCTTGATCGGCCTGGCCACCGGAAAGACGCTTCAGGATAACGAGACCATGAGTGATATTCCCGCGGACGAAATTAAGACTCAGGTTCTGGGTCCTTATATTGAGCACACTCTGTCTCACCTGGCCCAGCTCCTCAAACGCGGCCCATCTCGCACATTGCTTGTCTCGGGTGTTCAAACTCTTTCCCTCATCTCGCCTTGTGTCGAATCCTCGAAGGAGACATACAGCCTCATCAGCATCACTACCTATCTTCTCCGCCAACCCCCTGACAGGGTGTCCCCTAAAACGAAATCTGGCCTCCTGCGCTCCTTGGAGCATTTCCTTCCCTTATTCAACCACCAGGAGGATGTTGAGCTCACTAAAGCCGTGTTTGAGGCCATCTCGTCCCTTTTCGATTACTTCCGGGATGATGCGAATAGAGAAGTGCTGTCCAGAGTCTTCACGGCGTTCGCCTCCCACGACTCTGATCTTACCAAGGTTGCAAGTCTCTGTGAGGACCTGAACTCCATCTCCAGAAAGAAGCTGGAAGTCGATTACGAACGCCGACTGCAAGCTTTCAGAGAAATCAACGACGATTTGTGGGAGAAGCTTGACGCCAAGCAGTGGCGCCCGCTGCTCTACAATGTATTGTATCAAGTCAAGGATGAGGAAGAACTCGCAATCCGGACGAGTGCTGCTTTCGGCCTGAAGCGATTCATGGAGCGAGCCATTCTTCCCAAGGATAAGGACGAAATGGAACTGCTTGTAACGGATATCTTGTTCCCTGCTTTGCAGGCCGGTGTTCGCCAGAAGTCAGAGCTTATCCGCGCCGAGTTTGTGGCTGCGCTGGGGTACTTCATCAAGTTGAACCCTGAACGCCCCACCGTGAAAGACATGCATGTCTTGCTCGTGGGTGACGATGAAGAAGCCTCGTTCTTCAACAACGTCCTGCACATTCAACAACATCGTCGTCTGCGTGCACTGCGCCGTTTGGCAGGCGAAGCAGCCAAGGGCAATCTCCAGGCGTCCAACATTAGCACCATTTTCATCCCTCTCAATGAACACTTTGTGTTTGACGAAGAGGTCGATGAGGCGGCTCACAACTTGACCGCCGAAGCTGTGAATACTATCGGCACTCTTGCAGAATCATTGGAGTGGCCCCAGTTTCGTGCCATTTTCCGGAGGTATCGCGGATACATACAAAGCAAGTCGGAGTTGGAGAAGAGCATACTGAAACTTCTGGGCAAGATGTCTGACTCGTTGACCAACGCGGTGAAACAGCATAAAGCTATCAAGGATGCTGCTCAAAGTGGAATGGATGGTCTCGAGACTTCAGAGCCGACCTCTACTCTCGCGCGAACCATCCCTTCAGCCGCAAAGGTTGCGAACGAGCTTACTTCTAATTTCATCCCTCAGTTGACCAGCTTTATTCATCACAAGAATGAAGCGCAGATGAGTCTACGTTTGCCAGCTGCGGTCACCACCATCAAGCTTTTGAAGTTGTTGGCCGAGGAAGATATGGCCATTCGTTTGCCCCCAGTTCTTTTGGATGTTTGTAGCATCCTCAAGAGTAAGGCTCAGGATTCACGGGACACTGCTAGAAAGACGCTTAATGAGATTGCGCTCCTTCTGGGTCCTGCTTACCTCAAATACATCCTCAAGGAATTGCGCACCACTTTGACCAAGGGTTATCAGCGTCACGTGCTTTCCTTCACGGTTCACTCTATACTCGTCGGTACGACGGACGTGTTCAAACAGGGCGATCTGGATGATTGCCTGACAGAACTGGGCTCTATCGTCATGGACGACACGTTTGGCGCTGTGGGCCAGGAGAAGGAAGCAGAAGAGTATGTGAGCAAAATGACGGAAGTCAAGAGCAGCAAGAGCTACGATTCGATGGAGCTCTTAGCAAAGAATGCTACCGTTCCCAACCTTGCCAGGCTTCTACGACCTCTGCAATCGCTTCTACTGGAGAAGCTCAACTCGAATATTGTCAGGAAAGTCGACGAGTTACTGCGGCGAATTGGCGTCGGTCTTTTGAGGAACCCTGGAGTGGAAAGTCGCGACATCCTAATGTTCTGCTACGAGATCATCAAGGAGACGTACAAAGGACCTGTCCAAGCGGAGAACAAGACTGCCAAATCGGCACAGGAAGAAAATCTGTTGATTGACCTCAAGTTTCACAAGCGCAGCGACAAGAAAGGAAGCACGACTTCTTATCTTTACAAGTTGACGCGCTTCTCTCTTGATGTCCTGCGGACTGTCTTGAACAAGTACAATTCCTTGCTCACTCCCGGAAATCTGGCTGGGTTCATTCCTGTCATCGGCGACTCACTTGTCCAGGCACATGAGGAAGTCAAGACTTCAGCTCTCCGCTTGTTGTCGACAATCATCAAGCTTCCAATTCCGGAGATCGATGCCAACCACCATGTGTACATCACAGAAGCTGTCAAGGTCGTCAAAGAGGCACCGAGCACCAATACGGAGGCTGCGCAAGCCTCCCTGAAATTAATCACGGCCATGCTGCGAGAACGGAAAAGCACCAAGATCAGGGACGGTCACCTTGCGTATCTCCTCCAACGTCTCAACTCAGATATTGAGGAGCCTGACCGTCAAGGTATCGCCTTCAACTTCGTCCGTGCAGTGATGTCTCGCAAGTTCGTGGTGCCTGAAATTTATGAACTGGCCGATAGCATCGCTTCCATGATGGTCACCAACCAGACACGCGCCGCTCGTGATTTAGCACGGGGCACGTACGTCCACTTCCTGATTGAGTACCCGCAGGCCAAGAACAGATGGACCAAACAGCTCAGTTTCTTGGCTAAGAACCTGGAATATAAGCACCAAGAAGGGCGCCAATCAGTCATGGAGGCCATTCACTTGCTGCTGTCTAAGACGGGCGATGAGCTGGCTCAAGACATTGTCAGCACGTTCTTCCTACCCATTGTCATTGTGATGTCGAATGACGATGCGCCTGAGTGCAGGGAGATGGCTGGCCACTTACTGGGAGAGTTATACTCCCGGGCCGATGGGGAACAGATGAAGACCATGCTTACGCCTCTACACTCTTGGCTGGAACAAACGGAAAACATGCTCTTGAACAGCACGGGCCTACAGGCCATGAGAATCTACTTCGAAGTTGATGCAACGGAGAAAGACAAGGAGGCTCGATTCGTTCTGGATATATTGCCGTCCATCATGCAGCCAGTCCTCAAAGCCGAAGATAACGAGAATTGGCAAACCCTATACTTCGCTCTGCAGCTTTTCTCTAAGCTCTGCAAGACCGTCCCCGCTATGGCGCTTTCCGCGGATCGTGCGCCGATCTGGGCTGCCGTCCGCGAGAGTCTGTTCTACACTCACGCCTGGGTTAAGACCTGCGCCTCGAACCTGGTTGGTACATGGTTCGCGGACCTAGCACGCTTCAACGCCACCAAGGGCTACGCGTCAATCCCGCTGGCTGGTTCCACGGGGTTGTCGCTTGACAAAGATGCTATGTTGCAGCTGATCCGTGCCAGCTTGCGCTGTCTCCACACTCCGGCAGTCAGCGAGGAGCTTGCGATGCAATCCGTCCGCAATCTTATTTTCCTGGGTCGCTGCTGCGCTCAGAATGGGTTGGAGTTCACGAGGTCCGGTGGCAAGGACGCAGAGTCGGACGCCAGTGACAGCGAGAACGAAGACGACGAGGAGGAAGCCCAACAGTCCGCTCCCAAGTCGAAGCCTGCCATTCGGTATATCTTCGAGCAGACGTCCTCCATTCTCCGCCGCGAACTCATCACCACTCGGGCGCAGTCTCTGGTTCCCAAGACCGCTGCCATCGGTCTTCTCGCTTCGCTGTGCCGCCATCTCGAGGTTGACCAGCTCAGCGGATCCCTCGCCGTCATTCTGCTCCCTCTCCAGCACATGACGGACAACACGATTCCGGCGCCCCGCTCCTCGGACGAGGCGTTCCGCGAGTCGTACAAATCCCTTGTGGCCAACTGCCACGAGGTGCTTGATATCCTTCAGAAGAAGCTCGGTACCACCGAGTTCGTGAAGCAGATGGGCGAAGTCCAAGACGCAATCAAGGAGCGACGTGAAGGCAGACGCGTTAAGCGGCGCATTGAGGCGGTCGCTGAACCCGAGAGATACGAGAAGGACAAGAGGAGGAGGAACGACCGCAAGCGCGAGAAGCGCAAGGAACGAGGGGCCGAGCACCGCGGCAAGAGACGTGGGTGGTAAGAGGGGAGCTTTGTCTATACTACGTGATTTCTTTTCTTCTTGTTCACATCTTCTGGAGCTGCCATATCAAAAGTCCACGGCGTTGAAGGAGAGGATAGGAGATTTTTCCTTCGTTCTAGTATATTATATTACATGATTTCTTTTCTTCTTCGCTTCATCATCTTCAGAGTCCAGCCCTAAGTATGTTTGTAGAGCAGCGTGTTGTTACATCTGAACCTCCCACAATTTCTATCCACAGAAGCAAGAAGCAAGTAGACAGCCAAAACAAGTCCAAGACAGACACGATCAAAACGCCTCTAGCACCACGCTTTCCGAATACCTCCAGCAGAAAACCACAACCCAACGTTTCCTTCCCTTCACTTCCACTTCACCTCATCATTCAGCACCACCCACGCAACAAACCGCAAATCGCGCATGACCCAGCAACCCAGCCCCGGATTCAAGCAATGCGACCCTGCGACTGCCCATCCCCATCCCCAGCCCCATTCCCAGCGTCACCCTTCTCCTTCCCAGCCACAGCGACGGCCTCGGACTCCTTGACCTCCCCATTCTCCCAGAACTCCATATCGCCATTGGTGTACCCGCGCAGCAGCTTATCCCCCTGGCGCGCCAGGATATCCTCGAGGGTGCTCTTCTGGTCGAAGAAGATGTTCAGGTGGTCGGCGATGACGTGCCGGTTGCTGCAGGTGGGGCACTGGATCAGCACGGTGCCGCGGTGGTAGCCGTGCTTGGACATGCGGTGCGACGAGCGCCCGCCGCACGGCTTGCAGGTGAAGGTAATCTGGTAGGCGGGCTCCTGCTCGCGGCGCAGGCGGTTCTGCTCCGCGTGCGCCGCGTCGGTGGCGGCCGAGGAGTGGCGGTCGGTGAGGGTGTGGTTGCTGTCGCTGCTGCTGTTGCTACTCTCCTCGGTCGATTGGCTTGGGGTGGTGGTTGTTGTGGATTTGTGGCGCGCGGAGAGGAGAGTGGTGATTGTGGGTCTTGGGAGGGTTTGGGGTGGACGTGGTGAGCGTGGGGTGAGGTGTGTGAATGGGCGCGATGATGCTGAAGCAAATGAGGGTGAGGGTGTGGAGATGGCTGCTGCGCGGGGGAGGGAGCGTTGGGTGAGGGCGCGGAGGCCGTGGGAGAGGGATTGGATGGAGCGCATTGTTGTTTCTTGGTGGATGTTTGAATTTGTGAGGGAGTGAGGTGATGTGGTTTGGGTGAAGGACAATCGAAAGAAAAAAAAGATTTGAGTGAATACTTCTACAGGTTGTAGAAAGCGAGAGAATGACGGAGTTTCCGCGCCCGCGGAGTTTACCTCGGAGATAAGTTCTTCCAGGCCCTCGGCCCTTCCGCCCTGCACGTTACGGACTGTACGGTACACTATCTATCCATCCCATAATTATCTATCTATCTCATTTACTTTTGGGCTTGATTTGCTCGGAATTACCCTGAATGTGGTTACGTGCTTGAGCGCTTAAGTTTTGTCTTCGCCTTGCCTGACTAAGCTATACCCTTGTTCCTCTGCATCGCTAGGTTGGGCGTTTGGATAATCCTCTCTCGCCACTCTCGCTAGCTACGTTCTCCGTTCCTCAGGGACTTTTTGTCTCCTCTCGGAATCTTATCCAAATCTTATCCATATCCAGGCCGGAGCGTTGCCCCGCGCATGCCAACGCCCGAGTATACAACGTTAGTAAATTCGCCATGGCTATGAGAGCACGACAGCGGATTCGCGCTCCGCGGAGGGTGAGTCTTTCTTCTATTTCATTATTATATGCCTCATAATTATCTCTATCGTCTACCACCGTCAAGCCAAGAGTTATCTCTCGCGCGGAACCAGTGCCGGTGGCGATCAACAACCGACTCCGCGGCCACAACTGTCCACCCCCAACCATGCCCACCAGACATCTTCGCTAACTGAGAGAAATACAGGGCCTCACGGCGAATAAAGGCGACGATTTTGAGACGAATTGGGCCGATCTCTCGACCTCGTTGAAGAAGATTCACACCAAAGATGCCTCCAACCTCTCTTTCGAGCAACTGTACCGTAACTCCTATAATATCGTCCTGATGATGCGCGGGGAGGACCTCTACGAACGGATCAAGAAACTGGAACAAGACTGGCTCGAAGATGAGGTCAAGACCCGGGTGACGGCGGCCATCTCGTCTAGCCTGCTGCTCGCGAAGGAGCTTGCGGAGGTGCAAGATCAGGCCAATGAGCGTCGGGAAGCCGGTGAAAGGTTCCTGGCCGCCATGAAGGAGGCCTTCGAAGACCATCAGCTGTGCATGGGTATGATCACGGATGTGCTCATGTATATGGTATGTTCCACATATTGAGATCGGACGAAAGGCTGGATCGTTGGTGGCTGACCTTTCTGGGTTCTAGGATCGAGTCATGTCGACCGACCACCGCAAGCCGTCGATTTACGCGGCCGCCATGGCACTATTTCGAGACCATGTATTACGGTCGCCGATCCGATCGGACTCCAAGACGACGGTGGTGGGTGTGCTCGAGTCGACCATCCTTTTCATGATCCAGCTCGAACGGTCCGGGCAGATCATCGACCGCCCATTGATCCGCCATTGCGTCACCATGATGGAAGGGCTATACGAGACGATTACCGAGGAGGAGTCGTCGAAGCTCTACCTGACCATATTCGAGCCGGCGTTCCTGGACGCAAGCAAAAGGTTTTACCAGGCGGAAGGACGACGCTTACTGGAGACGGGCGATGCCGCGACTTTCTGTAAGGTTGCCACAGACCGCCTCGCCGAAGAGACGGAACGGTGCACGTACACCCTCGCATCGTCAACAGCGCCGAAGATCAAGGAGGTTCTGGATCGAGAACTGATCGAGAATAATATCGCGGAGGTGGTCAAGTTGGAAGGCACGGGTGTCCGGCAGATGCTCGACAATGATCGCCTGGATAGCTTGCGGAGTATCTATGTGCTGAGCGCACGAGTCGACCCGAAGAAGACCCCTCTCACAACCGCGGTCCAGAAGCGCATCGTGGAAATGGGCAGAGAGATCAACGCCGGGGCAGTCGAACTGGCACAAACACCGGCAGAGCCCAAGAAGCCCTCGGCGGATAAAAGTGACAAGGCAAAGAAGCCGGCTGAGAAAGAGAAGCCGGTCAACCAGCAGACTGCTGCTGCTATCAAGTGGGTGGACGAGATTCTGGGTCTGAAGAAGAAGTTTGACAACATCTGGGAGAATTCGTTCCAATCGGACCATGTCATGCAGAGTGCGATTACTACCAGTTTCTCGGAATTTATCAACTCGGAACCGCGCAGCTCGGAATATCTGTCTCTGTTCTTCGATGAGAATCTGAAGAAGGGCATTAAGGGCAAAACAGAAACAGAAGTTGACTCGTTGCTGGACAACGGCATCACGCTTCTTCGCTATGTCAAGGACAAGGACATGTTCGAGGCGTACTACAAGAAACATCTTTCCCGTCGTCTGCTCATGAAGCGCTCGGTAAGCATGGACGCGGAACGGCAGATGATCTCGAAGATGAAACTGGAGGTGGGCAATCAGTTTACACAGCGCTTGGAAGCAATGTTCAAAGATATGACGATCTCGGAGGATCTGACGGCCAGCTACAAAGAGCACGCCAAGAAGACTGGGGACCCCAACACCAAGCGCATCGACTTGGACATCAACGTCCTCACCAGCACTATGTGGCCCATGGAGATCATGGCCAGTGCTACCCGTGATAACGTGCAACTGGGCTGCATCTATCCGAAAGAAGTGGAGAGCGTGAAACAGAGCTTCGAACAATATTACTTGGGCAAACACAGCGGGCGCAAGCTCTCATGGCAGCCCACCATGGGCACTGCGGATATACGCCTAGAGTTCCCGCGGTCGAACGGCAAGATCCAAAGACACGAGCTCAACGTTTCCACATACGCCATGGTCATCTTGCTTCTGTTTAACGATGTGGCCACGGGCGAATCCTTGACCTACACCGATATCAAGGAGCGCACGCGGATCTCCGACCATGACCTCATTCGCAACCTGCAAGCCCTTGCGGTGGCGCAGAAGACGCGGGTCCTGCGCAAAGAGCCGATGAGCCGAGACGTCAAACCCACGGACAAATTCTTCTTCAACCACGACTTCCAGAGCCCCTTCCTGAAGGTCCGCATCGGCGTCGTGAGCGGAAGCGCCAACAAGGTCGAGAATCAGGATCAGCGGAAGGAGACGGAGAAGAAGATGGGCGAAGAGCGGGGCGCCAGCATCGAGGCCGCTATTGTGCGGATCATGAAGTAAGTTTTCACTGCATCTCATGCTATCATTCCATAAAGGCGGAGCTAATCTTGTGGAAAAGGCAACGCAAATCCCTGACCCATTCCAACCTCATGACGGAGGTCCTGAGTCAACTGTCTGCGCGGTTTGTGCCCGATGTCAACATGATCAAGAAGCGCATCGAGAGCTTGATTGACCGCGAGTATTTGGAGCGTGTGGAGGAAGACCCTCCGACGTACGGATACGTCGCATGATTGGAACGATTATCTCTGATTGTTGGTTTTGCGTTTTTTTTTTTTCTCTTGTGGGTTCTACTTAACGCCATCGAAGCGTTTTAAGAGCAGGAGCAGGGGAACGAAATGGGTCTTTAGCTTAGCGTTGAGGGCGCAAAGGCGATTCATATAGACTTTGTTTCTGTCTTGTTGCATTTCCACCGGAATGGGGGTTCTGCTTTGTTTAATGCATTTCCTGGGTTCCGTTTGCAGGTGTGCAGGCGTGGTGGGATTAAGCCTGAACCTGCGCCTACGCCTGCGCCTTGAGAGTATTCGATCCAAGAATGGCCGGACAATTGAAATGAAGTCTTGTCACTTGTGTAGTATGCAGTATGTAGTAAATGTAGATGCAGTGTATACAGTAGGTATCATCGGGAAATACAACAAAAGAAAAAAGCTCGCAACGCCACCATGCATATTCCAGGACACACACACACAACCCTGTCCGAACCCTGGACCTTGAACCATCGCCAACAATCCATAGACAAAGCAGTTCATCCCAGCTTTCTCCCCCCCTCCTTCCCCCCCATCTCAACCGCAAAGAACCGCAACCCAGAAACTAAAGAACCTCCACCTCCCCGCGCCCCCACGCATCCCTGACCCCCTCCCACCGCACCGCCCACACGTCCCCCATCCGCATCGCCGTGCCGCCGACCACCTCCTCCTCGACCCCATCCCCCGGCGGCACCACCACCCGCACCTCCTCCACCAGACACCGTACAAACACGACCTCGCGCACCTCCGGCCCCTGCACCATACTCGTGCCGCCGGCATTATCGTCCAGCCGGCGCAGCTGCGGCGGGAACGACCCCAGGAACGCGTCCCCGTAGTGCTTGGCCAGGAGGTGCTGGTGGGCCTGCAGGAATCCGACCTCGGGGGCCGAGAGCGGCGGGTGGGCGCCTTCATGCAGCGGGGCTGGGATGGAGTCTTCGGGGCGGACGTCTGCGCTATCTTGGGACTGGGACTGCGACTGCGACTGCGACTGCGTGAGGGGCACCGGGGAGATGCGGAGGAGGTAGTGCATGCTGTGCTTGGTGAGTTTGGCGAGACGCTGCCGCAGCAGGCTGCGGAGGGTGTATTGGGTGCGGGCGAGGTCGGTTTGCAGGATCGAGAGGGTGAGGTTTATGGTGGTGTTGGTGGTGCTTTGGGGGGTCTTGGTGGTGGTGGGGTCGGCGGAGGTGGCGGCTAGGTCTTCGATGGTTTCGATCTTGGATGTTGGATTTCAGTACTAGCTTGATATAGGGCTGAACCTGGTGGGGCAGAGGAGGGGGAGGAGTGGGCAGGGATGATGAGGGCTGGGAAAAGGAGCCCCCGTACCTGTCGTCGAACGCGGTCCATCAGGCGGTCCATCAATGGGCCCGGCCAGGGAAGCAGCTCCGAGACGCCGCGCTCGGCCACCCAGAACCGCGTCAGCAGTTGGTGGTCCAGCGCCGTGGACTCCGGGGTGCTCGGGTCGTGGCGGTCCACGGAGGCGAGAATGTCGTCGATGTCCATCGCGGGGGCATTGACTCCGTCCGGTCGGAGATTCGGTTGGCTTGGGTTGGGTTGAATCAGTAAAGAGCACGCACGTCCAGAGGAAAGAGAGGAGCGGAGCGGAGGCGGAATCTCCGAGTCAAAGAGATCATCCGCCCCGCTTCCGATGCCTCAGGCTGCAGTTCCACCCCGAACTACAAGGCTCCGAGTGTACGCCTTAGTACTCAGGTATCTACTCTTTCTGCTCCGTACTACTCAGGAAAACA